TTATTTATGTGACAAGCTTTATAAAAACTCGGACAGTGTCCGACTTAGCATCAAACTGCAAAAATTTACTGTCCGACTCAAGATCAAATTGAGTCATTGCGTCCGAACTTGAATTCTTCGAAATAGAATAAAATATTTTCAAAAAACCATACATATTGTGTATTTACAATGTTAAGTGCATAATATATGTGTAATTCTAACTTTCAAATTAAATTCTCTTACACGATGTGAAAACTTTCATACGTTTGATCGATCGAAATATTGCCAGGCCAATCTTCGAATTTCCCGGTAATTAGTGCTTTTGAGGGTCAAATAGATTAAGAATTCTTGATTCAGTGGATCATGATAGAGGATGGATTCATTACAGGAAGTCCGTTAAAAATAGCATCAAAATTGTCCGACTCTAGATCGTGTCCGACTCTAGATCAGTTTACCCTAAGGTTCACGTATTTAGGAATTAATCTTAATATCATTTTGGATTATATATTTAATTCTGATTAAGAAATGATAAAGCAGTAAATGATATTGTTGATATATGCAACTGCTAATGTATATTGTATTATATAATAGCTTATACTACACTTATCCTGAGCAATATTCATGTACGTATTTTGTAAATCGATGACATGCAAGGACTCTGGTTCAAATAAAACAAACAAGAGGATTACTTATATACCTATACGGCCTGATAAATAATTCACACTCAATTAGGACAACTTTCTTAACTTTGAAAAAAAAAACATATAAATAATATTCAACAAATAAAAAAAGGTTACCAATTAGGGGAGGGGAAATGTGAAGACAAATGTTGAGATTTAAAACAAAATAAATATACCTCAAATTCATAAAATTTAAAATCAATAAATTAAATCGCTACAGCCTTCTATTTCACTTCTTTTTTCCTCTTCAGACCAAATCTATCCATATTTTCCCCATCAAATGCATTTTGTATACTACATATCTAGCGTATAGAGTCTGAGTCATTGACAAAGGGGGAAGATTTTGTACTTATAAACATTACAACTGCACATAAATTACATACAAGACCGCGGAACATTAAAAAATTGGAAATAGCTTACGTCTTTTACATCAGGCTAGTAGGTTGGGCGCAATTACTATGATTCTAAATTTCATGAGAAGATTACCTTCTTGCGACTTGATGACGTAACAATAGACGAAACGTCATTTTTGATACCAAACCTCGGGATTTGCACACTAAATTGTGTCTCTTAACTGACAGTGAAACGAATGGACGAATCACAATATCTTCATTTCTTAAACTGTATTTTTCGGCATCAAGAGATGATGGTTTCAATCTGCTTTTGTAATACATGTTTATTATCAGGAGTGTCTCAATATAAACCAGAATTTTTTATTCTTGTCGTAAAATATGAAATAAATGCCTTGCAATCAAATTCATTTATAACTGAATGTAAGAAAGAAATCCGTCACCAGGATAAAAATAAAATCAAACAACTGAACAATGAACAATGAACGAGTTAACAAATGGAGAGGAAAACAAATAGAAAGGAAGATATACCTGTGATCTTATCTGCAAAAGAAAGGTAATACCATTTTGTATTAAATCTGTATAATACAGGTGTATTTTACAGTCCATATACATGTACTTGAAATATATATTTAATGTAGGTCCTAATGTTTTCACATTTTGGTAACATGCCATACTCAGTTAAATATATGACCCACGTCTAAGTGAAAGTTCGTATCGTAATGTGCACACTTCACACAGAGCCGAAAGTAATCGTAGCTACTCGGCCGTTTCCGTAACCCCAAATTAACTCTTTTCGGTTACGGAAAAGGACGAGCTTGACTGGAGTGAATCTGACGTCACAGCGGAAGTGACGAGGGGAGCGTCTGCAGTGCCTTGTAAAATCGGAGGAGGACGCTGTCATACACCTTGTCGTGTTTATCTCCAAAATTAATTTATTGTCGAGCGTTTCAATCTTTGATTCAGCGATTTTTTTTTGATGCGGCGATCGATGCTTCTAGAAAGAGAACAGCAAGGTTAGTGAAAATATCGGCGTGGTGGAAATGCCAAAGATTAACCTCGAAGGGTAACGTTAGCCTATAGAATTCAGCGATGGAAGTAAGATTTACGTGGAATTATGTAATCTTTGGGAGTACAGTGCTTGGATAGTAATTGAAAATCGGACATTTGTTGTCTTTGGTGCGTTCTTTACATTGGATCAGCGATCCAATGTAAATCCCCGTTAGGGTTAGTTGTGCCAGGCATGACTAACCCCCCTATCACGCGTGCGCCAACTAACCCTGTTGACACAAAGGGAGACTGACTAAGCCCTGGGACTAAGTCAACAAAACAAAATAAAATACATAAAAAAAAGAACACCAGCACAATCAACACCTTAAAATACAATAAAATACCTAATATATAATCAAATAAAAATTAAAAATAAAATTTTAAATATTAACTTTAACAAAAATTAAGGTATGAATGACAGGGATGTTGAAATCATTCCTTGAGTTTCAACTCAGCCAGTTATTATGAAGAAAACTCATATTAGTTGTCAAAGATAGTATGGACTAACCCAATATTTATGAGAAAATTCATGTTAGTTGTCTAAGTTAGTCGCTCTAAACACAACAAACAGTAGAAATTCTTGTTAGTTGTCTAAGTTAGTCTAACTAAGGGTTTTCTTCCTGAAAACCCCAAATTCCAATAATCAAAATAATTCCAAATTCAAATAATACACTGTTTATAGAACATTGTGTAATTGTGGTATGAGTTTCAGTTGCATGCATTCATGTATAATTGACAGTGTACAGATTTTCCCCCCCTCTTTTATAAGTAAATAATTCATATAAATAATTATAACATGTTCAAGCATGTTTGTCAACACAATTTTAATAGATTTTAATAAGTTTTTAATTAGAAATCACAATTTTAACACAAATTTCACTAAACATTTTATTACAATTTCCACATATAGTATTTAGATATTTAAAAGTCTGAAAAGTACAGTCAAACCATAATATCTCAAACACAGTTCTCCATGCCAAAAAAATTGAGACATTCAACATGTTCAAGTGTTCATATCAAAGTTTACATCTCTGATGAAGGTTAATTCTGCAATATTTCCCAAAGTTGTAGAAAACCGTTGGTCCTATGGGCTAGGCCAGTAAAAATTTGTTTGGACCAAAAACTTTCAAGAAAACGTCGGTTCAAATGACCGTTTGAAAAATTGATTGTGATGCAGATTTTTAAAAGATAAGGATTGGGGTGCGCAGGTGAAGGTCACAAAAGCAGCAGAGATGGCTGCAATGGTGACAACGGTCAATCGAAATTGTTAAAGCAGAGACAAAAAAACGTCATTTTATGTCTCTGATTAAAGACTCTCTATGCTAAGGAAAGAAACTTGTGAGATTGAAGGCTGTTGAAAATAATAAAAGGCATTTTGGTGCAGTTATTTATTTTCCTTTATCGACATACAAAATAAAACTTTGTCCTGTCCAACAAAACATTGGACCTTGTCAGACCAAGTGTCTGATCTGACAGTAGGGCTGCGCAATAATATCGAAATTTTGGTATATTGCGATTTGTTAGCAAAAACTATCGTATTGTGATATGTTTTTTCAGTACCGAAATACCGGCAAAATACTTTGGTTTTAGATTTCTAAAGTAAAATGTAAAATTTAATTATTTTGTCAGAAATGTTTTCAATCGTGCCAAACAGTAAGGTTGTTGTTGTATGGATGAATTTTGTTGCAAAACTTTAGTGAAATCAACCAGAACTTTCTTGTGACAACGTAGTTATAATAGTTACATGCATTCTACTTATAAATGGAGGTTTAAAAAATTAGAAAAAAAAATCTGTAAGGTTATTGAAAATATTGTGATACTTATCGCAATACAGATAAAAATATTGCAATATAATAATTTCCAACCCTATCTGACAGTGATTTATAAATTTTGACAACTCTGTTATCCTTTCAAACCTTGATTTCAAGAAAATAGGGAACCTCCCACCCCCTCCCCAGGGTCAAGATATCTGCATATTCAAGACATTGAAATTAAGTCCTCTTTTAATACCAAGACTGCCAACTGACTTGGCATATTCCTGGTATTTGACATATAATGATGTTCTGGATATCAAAGTTCAACTGTACTTTTTTAGTGGTTACTACCATTATTTATATTCTTTGGACAGTCCAGCCTTCATAATATGGACGACAATAACCCAGGCTCTTCACCTTCCAGATAAATTTCGGGGGGAATGGAATTAACATACTATATATATAAAAGTTCTGTTTCAGTATCTGCACACTTCTTAAATCAGGATGATTTGCTCAAAAACAGATTCTAAAGCATCCAGGTAAATGGGGCAAGATCCAGGGCTCAAAATTATTGAGAGCCGGATGGTCTAGGGCCAGTAAATTTTAGTTTTGGACTAGAAACTTTGTAGCATGTGCTCTTATGGAATTATCAAAATTTTAAAGCTGGGCTAGTTTAAAAGCCAGGTTTGCATGTCCAAATTTTAATGAAGTCGTAAAAAAACTTGTTGTTTTATTAGGTTGTGCTATGAAGTAAGTCAACGTAAACACAATATCACTAATATTTCTAAGAATGAGTTGTCTTGGTCCAAATCTGATTCACTGCAATATATTCTTAATGCTGAGGCAACATTGGAATATATATATATATGCTAACCCTGAAATTCAGCTTTTTAGGGCCACAGCTGAATTTCAATATTTTGAACAGGGATATCTTGAATACCTTGGATTTATATATGTCAAAGTGATTTGGAAGCACTTTTTCTTCAAGTATTTTACCCTTAGTATCAGATATCTTTTTTTCTCGGTCCCATCAAGTTCCAGATAGAGAGGTTTGACTGTGCATGTACTTGCCCAGTGGAACAGTGAAAGTTCTCAATTGATCAGTGAAAATTAATTTGATAACCAAAGTGACCAATGAAAAAAAAAATTATTTTGAACCCTACTATACTGTATGTATAGATGCTTACCTGAGGTAAGAGAATTTGCTTTGTCAGCACAATATGAAGATTCTGAAATTATATTAAAAACAGTCATTTAATTCCATTTACATTCAAATGAAGCTATGGTAGTACTGCAGTTCAAAGCAATAAAGTTCCTTTACTTTTTTCACTTGTGAATACTTGCATGTCATATGTCATGCAGAGAAGTAGTTAAATAATTTTTGAAGAAATGAATCCATTATATGCTCTAGCTGTCTTTCACATCTTCAAATTCAGGTCATCTTCACCACTTTCTCATCCCCCCCCTCCCCAGCCCCCAACCCATTACTAGCTATGTCTCTTTTCCTAGTTCCTCTCTCTCTCTCTCTCAACCTTCCAGTCCTCTGTTTTTATTTGGGTTTCTCTCTATCCTGCCTGTGATGCCTTCCACAAAAACCAAAGTATCTCCACAAAGAAGTTTGATTTTCTTCACATTCATGTGAATCATGTCTCTCTCTCTCATCTTGCTACTCATGTCTATGAACTTTGTCTTCTTCTTTTTTCTCGAGATTGACTCAAGATTGCCCTCTCCATATTTAGTCTCTGTCTTTCTCTCTCTCTTTCTCATCTTGGAACTTTTTGGGGTTTTTTTTATCCTCTCCCTTGAGACTGAGTCATCCTCTCTCTCTCTCTTCTTTCTCCCTCCATGTGAACTCTCTCTCTCTTGTCACTTGTCTTTTCTCTTTCTTCATCTTTGTCTTTCTTCAATCTCTCATTCTCCAAGTCTCTCCCTGTTTAGTCTCCTCTCTATATCTGTGTTAACTTTCTACCTGTGGCCCTCTCCTAAACAGTCATTTATCAGCATGCCTTTTAAACCAACACAGAGAATACGCTTTCCCAAACATTAAACAGCAGTTAAGGTCTACCTAATACACCAAGTGAGAGACCTTTAAAACTGTCTTCTGTTTACACAGAACAAGCAAGAATTCCTCTTTCTAGTCCCCTCTACTGAGGGTCCCTACATCCTGTGTCAACAAGCAATATGACTTTATCCCTTCAACACTGAACCAACCGACCTTCACATGGGTGGATCTAGGATTTTCGGTTGGGGGAAGCATAAAATTTTCAAAAAACCGTCAATAGTGCCCCAACATGAGAATGCTATTGTGTGTGTGTGTGTGTGTGTTGGGTAGAGGAGGCAGGGAGGGGGTTTTGATACATCCCCCTTTCCTTTCATCCTTCCTATATCTTTAACTACAAAAGGTAGTTGTGTATATGGGGGGGGGTCTTGGAGGGAGCCCCTCTTACAGCTGGAAAAAATTATTAATAAAATGATAAATGGGTACAGCATTTTGAATGGTTTTACCTGATGCATTCTGGAAGTAATATTCTCCATCTACAATTACACTAAAAACTTTAATAATGTTTTTAACTAACTCTTGTCTCTCTTGCTGTTTGCTCAATACATAATCACTTGATGCAAAAGTGGATACTTTATTACATGATCTATTTCTAGGACAGTGCATAAGGGGCTTTGGGCAAGGGTTAGGGTGTGATGGGAGCTAGAATACACAGACATTAATATCACTCTATATGTGACAAATTTGTCAACACTGACTTTAGTTTCTGGGCAATCTGTGTTCATCATTAGGAGTTCTTTGTACATCATAGGGCTTAACTGACCCTTTTTGGTACAGAATCCTGTGCCATTTCTATTCACTGGGAGTTTAGAATTGGAAAGAATTGTCAAAATCTTGAAATATTGAAGATATTATGTTTTAAAAACCATTTATTTCTAAAGATTGTAGATTTATCAAATCAAATCTTTAAAATCTCAAAATTCAAGATTGCTGAAAAAAGCACTGAAAATACAATTTGCTTGTCATTTGGGAATTTTTGCTTTAATTCTTTTTGGGGAAAAAAAGAGTCAGTTTTCAATTGGGACAGGGTCCTTCTACCGGACCTGCATGCAACAGATATTAAGCCCTGCAACAGTAGGCATACTGGTTTAGTTCATATTCAGTTTTCCATAAAATTTGTTGCATCAATACATGTAGTTCACCTTCATCCATGAAGCACATATACATGAAGCACTAGCTATAACATGTATAATATATAAATTACTGTTGTAAATGGGGTTAACAATAAATATCACTACTGAAACTCATGTTTGCCAACTTTCTTATGCACAGAGTAACCCATATTGGGCCACTTGTAAACATGCTACCATCCTCACAATGCTAGAACTGACCAAGATTCATTTATTTGACCCAATTTATATTTCAAAAAACATCAACATGCAATGTATATATGTCTACACACGCAGATGCTCATTAATGACCTAGATATTACCCAAATAGATCCATTGACCAACATTCATGTAACAACACATATAAACTGGATCAATCTCATGCTACACAGATCAATGCATTCTGCATCTCACATTCAGATGACCTGAAGAATATTAGAATTTTTACTCACACACTTTCTTACAAGATATTGACAGTATCCACACACATACAAAATCTTAAATATACCCTCCAATTCTTGGAGCTATATTCATACTTTCAGGTGCAGGGGCTGAAAAATAGATTTTTTAGGCACTTGTCTAAGGGCAACAGGGCTCGACATTAACGCTTGTCCGGTACTAGTGAAAAAAAGTTACGGACAAGTGAATATTGCCGGGCACTTGTCCGATTGGACAAGTGCATTTTAATGTAAAGAAGTCTTCAAATAATAAAAAGAACGACTGTTCATCTGTTGAAAGTTCATCGGTAACGACGGAAGCAGTACATAAAAAACGAACTTCGATCCCGATATGGATCGCTATGTAATCGAGTTCACACTCGATCGGGATCGAAGTTCCTTAATTGCATACTACTGCAAAGGCATGAAAGTTACGTCGAGTTACGAAGTTTAGATTCTGTTTGATGTTGACAGTTTCATTTGTGAACATTTTTGTTGTTGTAAGGATAGAAAGTCTAGGTGAAATTTTTTTTTATGTATTTATCAAAAACATCACGAATCAAGCACATGAAATGGACTTTATTGTAGTTTTCAAGTTGACAGTATTGTATCTTTATTGAACAATTTTCGGACAAGTGAAGTTGAAGTTCGGACAAGTAAATGTCTTGGTAACTTGTCCGAATGGACAAGTACGAAAAAAAGTTAATGTCGAGCCCTGGGCAAGTGCATGGTCAAAATTCACTTGCCCTACCTGAATATTTGCTTGTCCCACCATAAACTATTATAATATTTATATGTATATTTTTAACAAAATGGAATACAAATACTGATTAGATCATGCAAACCCATGTACAAAGCTTTAGATCTATGACTTGCATATGGATTTTATTTTTTTTCAAGTCACATGCCCATGGGCAAGTGGTTGATAAAATTCCACTTGCCCACCCTTGAAATTCACTAGCCCTGGGCGTCGGGCAATGGGACTTGTCAGCCTCTGAGGTGGACACTATTATTACCTGCTGTTTGCTGTATACTCCAATGATGCGGATTGCAACAAACATACAACGGATCTTTATCCGTTTCACAACATGGCAATTGCCGTAACGTTGTGTCCAGAGTCAGGTCTGGCCAGCGCCAAACCTGACAGCACAGAACATGAGGGTCCGTAGTGTGCTTCCCCATTTTTAACTCCACATTGGGGAGCAACACACATGGGGTTTGTTCTCTGCCCTTTGATTCGATGCTTTGGAGCAAAACTTCCAAGTTTTTCTCCTTGAGTCGTTTCAACATAGAATGAAGGACCGATTTGCTTTCATGTGCCTCTTTTTCATTTTGACTTTCGGAGTCATTTTGTGTTATTCGTAGTTTCCAGAGCTCGCGTACTAATGTCGATCTCTTGGAACGAAACATAAAAGTCTCCGAATACCCCTCTTCCGTAACATTGGATATAGTCTTATATTCACTAATGGTGAAGGTTTGGTTGATACGAACACATGAAGCATAAAATTCCTGCGTGTTTCTGAAAGTAATCACACATTTTCCAAAGAACACTTAATCCGCACTTGTTGGGGGAAACAACATCTAATGGACTGTGCTTGTAGTCAGCGTGTAATGTATAAATTTATCACATGTTGATAGCAAGAGAAATCCTCATGAATCTTTAAATTCCATTGAAAACATAAACACGGGTTCTCTATCTTGTTAGAACTTTGTGCATGTGCGTAAATTATCCACAGCTCTCCCGAATCAAAGCCACTAAAAAACAGAAGGGGCAAAAATTTGGTATTTTAAAAAAAAAGAATTCAGTTTAAATTGCAATCAACTTTTCAACAGAAGAGTAAAAACTTAACCTGGGCGAGTCCACTTCAAATAGCTTAGGGGGTTGTTAACATGCGTTCATTAACTTATATATCTTTTAATATTTTACCTGGCTGTTCCAAAATATTCCCGACTCCAGCATTAACAGGCAAACGCAGATGAAGAAATGGCTATGTATTCCAGATGAAAATAGCGTACTTCTTTTAATGTTCACGGGATATCAAGATATGTCATGATTTTAACAAACAAAACACCATGTCTCTGGTTTATCGAAATCCCGTCTCTCCATTGAAACACACAGGTACGTCTATTTACCGACGAGGCGAGTTATTTAGATAAAATGCGATCTGATTGGTTGAAGGCTACCCACGTGACGAGTCTAGACTTTTTGGCGCGGCTTCGTGTCTGTTTGCGAGTTATAAACTATGTTATCGTGCAGGCGATCACTTCAAAACCAACGATTGCATGAAAAGCGGGAGCGGATTCAGACTGTGTTCCTTTATTTCTTTTATGAAAAACAGAAAAACAAATCAGAAGAAAAATATATTTCAGAAATTTGGGTTGAAATTCTTTTGGGTGGAGTGTATATATGTTATATAAATTCCTGAAATCAATTTTAAACATATTGGGTGTATATATTATTATTTACAGCTCAGTTGAATTTAAATCTACCTTAATAAGGATAGGTCTAAAACGTCACACTGATTACTATTATCGTAAATTAAAACCACTTATTAAAAAAAAATTCTGGTATTGTCAGAAAATTTAAAGTTCTTTGATAAACAAATTCACATTTATGGAATTATTATATTTTTTTCATAAATTGTAACCTGCATTGAAATGAGATCTATGTAAGATATTTTTCTACGTAATGAGAGATTTTTTTAAAAATTCTTTTTATTTATTTATCATTTTTAAATACTTTATTTATCAATGTTGATTTCTTTAAAAAATAATGTGAAGAAGAGCACGATACCTGAGAAAGGGGAGGGGTGGATCGATCTGGAATAAGGGGAGCGGTGGGAGGAGGGGTGTTGACAAATCATAGAAAAACTGGTCACAGTATTCCCCGTCTCCCTAATACTATTTAATGGTATTTGAAATAAATAAATAAATAAATAAATAAATAAATAAATAAATTCTTACTCGTACAGAGTTCGGAACAAACGGCCAATTTAAGCACCCTCTCCCATTTTTTTTTTTTTTTTTTTTTTTTAATATTTAACCAGTGTATAGCAATTCAATTTGATTTTCTAAATTACATTTTTTTAGCTACATTTTCTTGTACAAAATATATGAACGCAGTGCAGTTTCAAATATTTAAATGACTCACATGGAAATGTATAATGTTGGGTGATCATTTTGTCCTTGTCTCTAAAGATTTTTTTCTTTCTTTTTTGCGAGGGATTGCCCATTTCTGTTTTGTCAACATATAAAGACCTTTTATCAACACAAACAATAAACTTGACTCGATACACACACATTATAGCGCAGACTTCTAACTGCGCGCAGTGACGCGGTTGATCGTCTGCGGCTAGCCCGAGGGCGCCAATAAGCTGTGTACTCTAACAACTGCTAGCGCCACACTTCGAACTCCCGTGTTGAACAGCAGACGATAGGGAAAAACAGAGGAACAGCTATATAGGAAATGAGAAAGTAGGCAGACGACGAGAAAAAAGAAAAAAATCAATTCCCGATGAGTGAGAGACACACGGGAAACAAATTATGTTGAAATGTCTCATTGTGGCGAAGTAAATAAGCGAGAAAAGGAACTTGTCTAAATATGTAAATATATAGGTACTGTACATATGCTAAATAACAATAGATTTATAAATTTATACCTTTTATAATCTTCACAGTCTGTAGTTTCAAGTTGTCAATTTACTTTAAAAAATCTAATTGCAATAATTTATCACTGGACTTCCGTCACTTTTTAAAACCTTACACTATTTAATAACCTAACAAAAATTATAATGACCAATATAATTCTGTTGATCACAGTGAACACAAGGAGACAAGAGTTATTTTTCTTTGTACCTGTAAAGCATGTGCAAACCCACTCTCTACCATCGGCTCATGAACGAACGACAGGTGCAAAACCCTGTCGTCTTGAAATTAAAGGTGTGAATAAATGCGACTTGAGGGTGTTTTCAAACTCATCATTATAACAAAAGCTACAACAAACTGATAAACATGAAAAAAAAACCTTTCAAAGTGGTAACTGAAGGAAGACATTGAACGAATCGACAATATAGTAGGCCCTATTTAAATAATAAATAGTATAACGTGGGGATGTAGCTCAGTGGTAGAGCGCTCGCTTTGCATGTGAGAGGCCCCGGGTTCGATCCCCGGCATCTCCAGAGCTTTTTTTTTTTTTTATTTTCTTTTCATTTTTTTTTCAAGATATCTTTTTTTTTTGTACTTTCAAACGTAATTTGGTAACAAAAATAGTTTTTTCCCTCATTGATAGGGTCAAGCAGATACCACCTTTAATTAAATTCCTTCACAATTATTTCCTGTCAAATAAGTTAAAATATGACTACAAGAATTTTTACTTGCATGAATGAAGCATCCTGTATACATAAATTTCATTTCAAATATAACTTGTCAAATTGAGAGATTCACGTGGTAAAATAAGTGTACATGTTGATTAATCAACCTCAAGCACACGCAGAAATGTTGACAGAAATACATGTAGCAAGTTGACTGTCTGCCTTGAACTTGTTTTCTATTTATCAATATACAGAAATGTGCATATTTTTTCGAAGTTTTTCTAAATGAGAGCAGATTAAAACAAAAGACACTTTTTCTTTTTTATAGACGTTTACTTATTTTAATTTTCAAGTAAAAATAAGCAAACGGCATATTCTATTCTCCTTAAGTATATATAACATGTACGAAGGGTTATCAAAAAGTTCGTGAACTGGTGCGATAAAATTAATACTATGTAGTCTGTGCTTACAAAATTTATGAAAAACATAAATCAACAAATGTTTAAGAAATGTTGAAAATTTTAACTTGATACGTTGATAATTTGCCAAATTATTCTAAAATAAAAGAGACATTATATGATCACCCGGCGCTGTCGCCATTTAGTTTCATGACGTCCGACAACGTCATTGTTTCTCAATGTCCACTCCGTCTACCTTATAGACTTATCTTGATGTGATTATACCTGGAGTTAAGTAAGGACTTAAGTCCGTCTTGTTTATGTGACTTTACAATGTCAGCTTTTAGCTGCTTTCAATGCATATAATATTGTAAATGTATCTATACACAAGGAAAGATCCTCACTTGATTATACCAGAATACTTAGCTTGATGGAGTTCAATTTCTACTACACATGATCAACGTCACTTTTCGACGTGACTGATTTTTGACACCCTCACTACAAATTGACTTTACTGTGCATCTTTCATCTCTCTGAATCTTTTTGGCTATTTAAAACGAGTACTCTGGATGTGTTTTATTTTTCTATAGCCCGTTTAAACATTCCCTAGGTCTATACCAGTTTTCCAGGTGCGAAACTTTAAAGAATGTTGGAAACAGAAACCCCTCCCCCGTTTTGACGTCATTTTTGAACCCTTAATTGTTTGTACACTCCATATAAATTTATGATAAAATTTCATAGAATTTACAGAATGGGGTAAAAGTTGCAAATTTTACGGAACAATTGTGTTCTACCACTTGCCTGAGGCCTGTTCAACAGAGCGAACGTTCGCGAGCGCTCGCCTAAATTCCTTATTTTTCCAACAGAAATGTTCGCGAGCGCTCGCGAAAGTTCGCTCTGTTGAACAGGCCTCTGGATTGGGGTCAAAGGCTGGTGAAGGTCTCGAGGGGTGTAACTGATGTCACTAAGTTACACTATCAAAACTTCGAGTTAATGCCTACTATCTCAAATAGGTTCTGCCAGCAAGTCACATGTCACACCTCCCCGTTGGTGGCCCTGGAAATACTTAGGTAGTTGAGTGACAGTGGCAAGAGGCGAGTCTCCAGCGCCTTTAAATAACTGGAATCTGTGACTAGGGGAAGGAAAACCCCAACAGAAAACCACCGGCCCTCCGGGTCCAGGGGGTTTTGCGCAGGGTTAACAACCCGCCATGTAAAAAGGCAATTGCTACAGAAACGCATACAAGATTTAATCAAGACTTCTCAAATTCTGGAAGAGAAGGTTCTCCAAAAGGAAGGCGAAGGACGCCATGTGGTGAAAACCAGAGACAGAAGGAAACTACAAGGCCGAAAACCCTTCTCGGACCCAGAAATATCAATATAGGAACTTGGAACGTAAGAACCATGTACGAAGCAGGGAAAACAGCGCAAATTGCAGCAGAGATGAGAAATTACAATCTGACACTGCTCGGCATAAGTGAGACAAGATGGATTCAATCAGGACAGTGCAGACTTACTACAGGTGAATTACTCCTCTATTCTGGACATGAAGAAGAAAATTCACCGCACTCTCAAGGAGTGGCACTCATGCTATCCAAAACAGCAAGGGAAGCATTAATAGGCTGGGAAGCACATGGACCAAGGATTATAAAGGCATCTTTTAAAACAAATGATGCAGAGGAAGAAGCAAAAGATGAGTTCTACAACAGACTTCAAAGTGTTATTGACACCTGTAGAGAAAGAGATGTTACCATCATGAGAGAGACCTTAACGCAAAAATTGGAAATGATAACACCGGATATGACGAGATTATGGGACAACATGGACTGGGACAAATGAATGAAAATGGTGAAAGATTAGCAAACTTTTGTGCATTCAACAAAAACTAGTTATTGGTGGCACTTTATTTCAGCACAAAAGAATACACAAAGCACCTGGGTATCACCAGACCAATTAACTGAAAACCAGATAGATCATATATGCATCAATAAAAAGTTTAGAAGATCTTTGCAGGATACCAGGGTCAAACGAGCAGCAGATGTAGCCTCAGATCACCATCTATTGACAGGCAGCATCAAACTGAAGCTCAGAAAAATGAAAACAGAAGGAAATTCTCAGAGAATCAGATATAACACCAGGTTTCTCCAAGATACCCAAATCTTACAGGAGTATAAGATTGCGGTTAAAAACAAATACCAAGCCCTTTAGGAAATAGGGGAAGTAACAACAGTTGAAGACCATTGGAAAGGGATAAAAGAGACCATCACAACAAGCTGCCATGAAATACTTGGAGTGAAAAAGTACCATCATAAAGAGTGGATCACAAATGACACACTTAGGAAAGTACAGGAGAGGAAGGCTAAGAAGGCTGAGGTCAATTCAAGCAGAACAAGAGCTGAAAAAGCAAAAGCACAAAAAGAGTATGCAGAGGCCAATAAGAGAACTAAAC